AGCAATTGACTCTGGTTCTCCGAACAGATGTTCGATAAATCATCTGTTTGAAAATACTTAAAACAAAAATCGCAATTAATAAGCACAGATACGAAACTCAATCCTTTTTTGCGCCGTAATTTCGACGTAATTAGTCGCGCATCGCTTTTAAGATTAAAAAGCGGCGTTTATCAAGCTCTCTTAAATCGATTACTAGCTGAAAAGCACTTAGCGGCCATTTCACGCTCATAGACAGACGTGATTTAGCATCAAAAAATGGAATTGAAAAGAGCTAATTATCAACAATTCATTTTTTTTGTTTTTTTTTAATAGGATGATAAATAATAAATCAAAATTTGTTTGTTTTTTGTTCATAAACTTTGAATATACTGAATACTGTGAAAAAAATATTATAATATTATAATTTATATGTGTCTAGATTGATTTTTGTTGACGTCAACGTCAACGTGCTAGGAAAAAATATCAAGTATGTGAAAATATTAAACTACAAATTGTTGCTAAATTCCACTTCTTCCTTAAATTGAAAGAATTTTCTAAGTATTTATCTTCCGGTTGTCAGTAAAAATTCAAATTTTTGTTATAAAAAGCATGTTGTGGTTAATCAGTGATAAATAAAAAAATATCGACTTGCTAGTAGAAAAGGCTAACGAGAGTCAGACTTAAGAATATCTTTAAATTTCTTTTATTTTATGGATTGAAAAAATTTTTTATCTTTTAACACAAATTTGTTTCTCATATATCAGTTAAATCCTATCTTTTTGTCCACAAAAAAAACATATTGTGTTAAAAATTAATAATAAATTAATCACATCGATATTTCGCAAGACATGTGAGATCATTTCGCAGATACATTCTGGAGAAGCGTAGTAGGGCAGAAAAAGGATGCGCGGCAGCCAATTTTTGTGAGTGCATCTTGAAATAATCATAGCTTCAGTATATGGGGGTTTCTTCGTATTTGCTATATTCTGCGCAAACAAATTAATGCAAGAAATCCTGCTCCTCTACGAAAAGTTTTACACACGCGTAAATGTATGTTCGAATACTCGGTGAAAAGTTCGAAATTCGAGTATAATAATCACGTTAATATGCGTAGTGATACAATATTATATAATAAATAAATAATAATAATAAATGTAGAATATTATCGTGAAAAAATAAAACGAAAATGCATATAATTAATAATATATCGATAATATGATAAAATGAAATTAGTTACGCTTTAAATTTCAATTTATTGAATTCAGGCGTGAATTTCCGGCGAACTGGCAATTCCTTTATAATGCGGTTCTTTCATCAGAATTACAAACAACTGCTTTGAAGGTGCTTTTTAATCCTATCCAATAAAGCAATCGAGCTCGTTTCTGCAGACGTGTCTTTTAGTCCAACTAAAGGAGCCCTCATCTTCTTTCATTTCTTATTGGAATTTGACCCTTTGAGCCCTGCTTCTCTCTTTCTCTCTTATTGTTCTTTCTCTCTCTCTCTCTCTCTCTCTCTCTCTCTCTCTCTTCCTTTCTTTCTTTCTTGTTTTCTTGAGAACGCCGATGGCAATGCTCGACTCTTTCGGCGTTTTTTAAAACAATCGTCGCTCGTAAATAACGTCATTCCCAGTCCTTTAGCATCTTGCAGCGAGTTTCAGTTAACAGGCTGGTTGTTTCTACACGGATAATTATTTTTCTTGTTCTTGTTCGACGTCAGCAACGACTTCAAGAGTTCACTCAAGAGTTTATTCATTCCGAGACAGTATGATCTATAACTTGTACTCATTTGAATGTCAATAATAAATGTTCTTGTTCAATTTTCTGTAGCGACACATACATATAATAAATATTAAAAATATTAATTAATTTTTCTGGATATTATACGTTAAATTTCATTGCATTTTATTGTAATATGTTAATTATTCCAGTTTATAGCAATTTAAATAAAGAACAAACATAATTTATCTCTCACATTTCGCAAAAAAATTTATTTTTTATGCGCTTTTACAAAAAGCAAGCTCAATGCTTGAATCTTTTTTATCGATACGCTCTCAATCTCTCGTGCAATGAATATATTTATCTTCTTTTAAAAGCCAGCTCTGATTTTTTTTATTCTTTTTCTATATGCAGTTGAGAAATTGTTACCGTCTCTATTGTTGTTATTTCCAGACGACGCGCGAGAGACGATCTGACTGCCTGACCGGCCACACGAAAGCTTTAAAGCCCTCGAAAGAGTAGACAAAAGCTCTTAACATGTCGGAGTCAGTTAGTGGAAAACGTTAAATGAAGCTCGACGATTTAAGAGCGGCATGCAATCACGTGGAGCGCTATTATTTGTTGCAATTTTGCGTGTAGGAAACATCTGCGTAAACGCAATATTTAGAAGCATTTCATTCGGTGTGATAATTTAAATTCAATTTTGCATTATAGGTCAGAAATTGAGATTCAAAAGTTAAAAATTTAAATTTAACATTAGTGTCAAATGTGTCTCGCAACATCCGATCGGACGATATTTGTCGGTGTATGCGCAAATCGCTGCCATCTTATTCCGCACTTGGACAAACATCATTCCGTCCTCTCAAGGGCGTTTGTCCTGGGCGTTGAAATGTCGTTTGCCTTTTAATTTCGCCACGGTGGATCCCGGAATCCCATCGCAATTCCGGCAACGAACTTCGTAGAATTAATGGCGGCTGGGCGGTAGGAGAGCTGTTGAACAGCGACGATTAAGCGTCGTCGCATAAGAATGCATCCCGGGCGCATAATAATCCCGAACGGTGCCTCATCGTGGCAATAAATGTCGCGCCGGCGACGCCCGCCGTCATCGCGCTGAAGCGAAAAGGCAGGTAAATTGAAATTACCATCCTTGTCCCTTGAAGAGGGCTCCAACCCGCGTCTAGGCACGCCGTCCCTCCATTGTCGGAGTTAAATCTCTGTAAATAACGAATGAGCGTTACGGAGAAAGACCGGGTGATTTATTGCCGAGACCGTCCATTGGTCATTTCGATGGCTGGGGATAATATTTCATGAACTTTGTTCATTTCGTTCATTTAATTTAAATGTTAATATAGCGGGCAACTTTACCGGCAACAGTGTGCTTGAAGAAGAAAGCTTCAACTGCCGAAGCATCAGTCCGATATTATTGCAATTTTATCACTCATCATTTTCATATGTATGACTGAGGATTGTGGTTTCTTTGAATTCGCATGGAGCATTCATTAGTGGAAATTGCCGACCGGAAGGCGGAAGCGCGGTTAAAGTTGAGAAGTTGATTGGAGTACCTCAACGGTTTATCGCGCCCCACACCGTCTCTCTTTTCTCCTTCACTCATTCGCCTCAATCGTTTTCTAACTTTTCGAACAGTGACCCCGCTCATTAAGCGCAAAGCAAACAATCTCGTCGGGATTCAATGATCCTGTTTACCTAAAACAAATATTCGCGAAAGTTGCTCACTATCATTGTTTAATTAATCCTTTTAAATTGTTACTGTTTTTTCCAACTTTTCGGATGTAATCGTTCTTATTAAAGACGGGACAAAAAATTTCTTCCAAATTTAATTGTACTTTCTGTTCCGACAGTTTTTCATTAATAGTGCATTAATAACAAAAAGAACAAAGATACTACTTCATTTTGACGCTTCAAGATTTATTTTTTCAAAAATAAATTTTTTTATTTTTATTAGATAAAAAAATAATTTTTATAATTCCATTTTAAAGCGACTTTGACAGACATTAGGACTGAAAGACAGCGAGGAAAATTAACGGGCGATTTTTTCGTAATAAAAAGATCCCGACGAAGTTGGCGAGCTCGAAGGAGTCTCATCGATTTTACAATCTACCCCCCTCGCAGACTATTACTTTTCCCCCCTCCAACCCTTGCTTTCTTCTGATAACCCAACATTCTCGCTCCACACGAGGGAAGGATGATCCTTTTCTTTTTCTTAACGTAGTTAGATCGTCGATTCGCAGTTAATGAAGCGAGAATGAACGTCGAGGAAAAAAGTCATGTTTTGGAGAAATGGGAAGCGTGCATCCGGAAATTTTCCGCGACGCTCGCTGAGATAGAAATTTTTTACAACCCGTGCAAGCGAAAATTTTGCGCGCAAACGCCGGCCAAGTTGAAATTATGTACCGAAGCGTGCTCGCGCTGCATTTTTCCTACTTCTGCAGTTGCGATTTTTCTGATAATATACCGAGAAACAATTGAGCGCAGAATTGGGCTGTTTATTTTTACACAAGTTAAATCTTGAAATTTTTACTTAAAAAAGATACATAATTATAATTATAATTAGTATTATTATTGTTATTAAACACTTTTAAAGCAATATTATTCATATACATTTGTATCAATATTCATTATATATGTAATTTCATATAATTAATCATTATTAATTAAATAATCAACACGAAACAGTCATTAATCAATACATTTGCTAAAATTTAGAAAATTATATAAAAAAAAACAAATATTAATTTTTTAAACTGTTAAAAGATTCGAAATTATATTTTATTGAAAGTAAACGCGCAAAACATAAAAATGTTCTAGGTACACGTAGTGTTTCAGAACTTCTTTAATTTTTAAAGAATCAATTTCCGCTTTCTCGTTTTCAAGGTACGTAATATATCTGGGAAAGGATAACAATAAATTCTAATGGCAATATTTTTTGTGTAATTTAACTTCGTTTTTTAGCAGTTTTTTTAATATTCAATATTAAATTTGAAGATAATTTTGTAGATTAAATTTGTAGATAATTAATATTTAGTAAAAACAAAATAAGCGCATTATAATTAAAATAACGTATTGAATATAATAAAATAGAAGTAATTTTGTTTTTTACTCATAATTTTTCTATAAACATTTAATATCTGTGATGATTATTAATTTTTTTAAATAAGAGCAGCAACGCCCATGCTGCTAATTAAAATATTTTATGAGAAATTAATTGTGTGATAAACTATATGTAATGCAAATTCTGGCGTTTTTCTTACATCGAGTCGACAGCTCAATTTCTATCCTTTGTTCCAGACATCCCCACGCCGGCTTGTAGTTACGTGAGGTACGACAGCCTAGAAGACGTGAAGCCGCAGGAGTTGGGTTTTCGCCAATTAGAATTCACGCCCATGGTCGTCTCAAAAATACGGTAAAATTACTTGCCTGTTTGCTCTTTATAATCACGCGCTATTTTATTTATTAATAAAAAAAGGCAAATTCTCAAATTATCAAGATGGTCCCTTAAAAGGCTAGGATTTAATTATGCCGACTGGATGACTTCCACAGTAGATTCCCGCCTGTGCAACAAGCGAATATCCTAATTAGCAATGCGGCGGTTGTTGTAGCTGCCCTTTGCACGCGTAAGGAAAATTTGCGTTACAATGCGGAAGGGCGGTGGTCCGGCGTAAAGGGCAAACTCGTTTCAGTACGACGCGGCGTCCTGTTTTGCTTACAGTGCAAACTAATTACGTTTGGTAATCGAACCACGCTATCAAATTAATCAAACAGAAAATTCCGATTTTTCAATCTGTTATGTTAAACAAAACAACGATAATAGAAGTGCACAAAACAAAAGATTAATTAATTAATAATTAAACCGATATGTTTTTCTTGTAAAGAAAATGTCCAAATTTTTTAAAAATTTAAAATTATCTGATAAAAAAGTTCTGAAATTTTTGGAAAATAATTTGGAATAAAATAATATAAATTATAGAATTATAGTTATTATTGTTATATTTGTTATTAATTTTTTATTAGAAGAATGTAGGCGAGGTTTAATAACTAAAAATATATTTAAAATTTTGTCATGAATATTTCGTTAAAGATTAATAAAATACCGGCTGCAAATAACAAATTTGATTAGTAAAATATCCAACTGCAATTTCCATTAATTCCGCATGAAAAAAAAGTGAAAAATTAGTTTTATACGATGCAATGCGCGTCACGAGTTACGCGCCTATGCTATGTTTTTTAATTAGACGACACGTGAAATGCGCCGATGTGTTAAGTGCTCGATATCAATTAGCGACTAATTATAGCGTAATATTTGCAACTGGGATCACATAGTGTATTCTCATCGCTGCGAATCCTATAACATGGATGGAAATAGTAAATATTCCATGTGTGTGTATGTATTGTAAATGGTGGAAAGATATTTTATTATCATTAGTGTTATATTACGCATAGTTGTCATTACTGTACCGTAAACAATTCTAACTGAATTTGCGGCTGGTATAAATTACAAATATTTGTCGATGACTTCGAATATCGATCTTAAAATGCTGATTAAAGATGAACTAGCGGGGTAGTGGAAGAGAAAGGGAATGGACTGATGGATAAAATTGATTTGTAGGCAAATAAGCGCGCAGGGTGCAGCGAACTAGAAAACTCGTATTGACTGATCGTCGCATGAACCTCTGTCATTCCCAACATTATTTAAACAGCCTGCTCTGTTTGGTCATGCTTTATCATAGCGCAAGGGTGCACATTTAATTAGAGAGGTACGCGCTATCGTGACGGTGAATTTTGGAGATTCACAAGATATCCTGACAATCTGCTGAGATCCTCAGAAATCCTTAGACATCCACAGATTCTCGCAGATTAACTATAATTCACAGAGATTTTCGGATGTCCTCCGAGATCCTAGAAGCTCCATGAATCTTAGGTATTCTCCCAAGTCTTCGCAAATTTTAAAAAGACTTTTGCTTTGCGAAAATATAGAGAATTAAAGAGAGATTTTTAAAATCTCAAAAATTCTGGAAAATTGTTGTCTAAATTTATGTCTTTACGGTAAAAATGATGAGAATGAGATATATTTTAATTATTTTTTTTTTTGTGATATAAATGCACTGATAAATGTGTAGTGAGAATGCAGAACAAATTATTACCGGGCGTCTTCGGATATTTGGCGGAACAGACGACTATTGGAATACCAAATGACTGCGTCTTGCGGAAAATAATCGTTTGGAGTCGGTGAGTTTGCTAAGTGCCAAGTAAATGTCGGGAGTTGCCGAGTCACGAGAATTCGTCACGGGAACCGACTGTTTTAAACGACAATCGCATTAGTACGGCGGCAGGCGACTGATTGCCGTAGACTTCTCGCCCGTTCTTTGATAGTTCCGCGCGCCAAGTTTCGGCCGCGAAGCTCTGTCAAAACCACCGGAACTCCGCGTAAACTCATCCATTCCAACCGCAAAACTTCCCTGGGAACAATCGCTGTCGTCGTGCCAAATCATCGTGCCGAAGAACTGCGCTGCGGATATCAAACACCGCGAATCAACGAACCAACTGCAAAGATCGGCTTCAAATGTTAACTTAACTCTGTTGAAACCGATAATAACGATCATAAATCTAACAGAAATGTAAAGACATAAATGTATCTTTTAAGAGTTAAACGATAGCCATATTACAAGTTTTTTCTCTTTTTCTCTACATCTTTTTTCTGTTTCTGTCTTTCTCTTTTCTGTTTTCCTTCTTTCTTTTCCAATTTTCTTTTTTCACCATACTTTCCCATCTCTCTTTCTCTTTTTATTAAAAATGTACAGAAAATAATTATAAAAAATTTATTATATAGTATAAATGTAATTGCAATTATATAAAATTAGCTTAAATATAGAAATAAATCATACATTACGTTAGTGATTATAATTTTAACTTTTATACTAATATAAAGAGTTAATTCTTTCTCGGATTTTTTTAGATGCTATGTCATTCTTTTTGTTTAAACAATGGCAGTAGAAAATAGGAAGAAGAGAAATTCCAACAAGATACTATTCGCAGAAATATAATTCCAATTCTTTAAGAAGCAATTTATTCTGTCCCCGAAGGAACGATAAAGAGCGAGGGATGGTAGCATAGACATTTAAATTAAGTGGCATCCTTCGAAATTAGATCAGGGAGAATGTTCACTGAGCGTGTTTGTCGTTGCCGCGCTTTGACCAGAATATTCCATTTTAGTTGATGATTAAAATTCACAATCAAATAATAAAACTGTGCAATTCAATTCTATAATTTTGAAAAATAAATGGGGAGAAGATTTAATATCAGATTAAAATAATTTACTAATTATTTATTAACAACCTGATGTGATATAACACAAAGTAGAAATGTGATTTTTTACTTTTATGATAAATAAATTAGATTAAAGTAAAATAGTTAATTTATTGCAATTTGTGTAAAAGATTTCGACATTATTTATTGTTTGTTTTTTAAGTGGCAACAAGATAAGATTTTTGGAAATATATAAGACTTATTTTTGCTGCTACACTTTCCGAATCTTATTGACTTGGGAAAGTAAATCTGGGACCTCTTATCGAGAATAACCCAAAAAATGTAGACGCACGTGGGACGCGCGTGAAACCTTCCTCTTCTCCTGTTTCCCGCTTTACGCGTCCTTAAACAATTTATCAAGGATTTCGGTTCGAATCCTGCGGGCTATCGTTCCGCGTACACGACCTGTTTTTTTACGATCTTTTTTTTCCTCCAAGCCATTTTTCACCCGCAAGCTCGTGCGGGTTTTATCAAACTTATTCCAAAAATAACGTGAAAATAATATAATTTACCCAGCAAAATTGCAAAGACGAAAATAAGTTGCAGCTTACTTTATTAGTTTTTCAAATCTTGAGTTGCTTGAATTTTTCCGTTTTAAAGGTCAATAATTACAAAAAATTATTAAACTCCAGGATATTAAATTTCTTGAATTCTTGAAATTTAAAGTTTTTGTTTTGCAGATTTCAGTCAAAATAAATTACTTTTACCTAACAATTTTTTTTTAATTATTTGTTATTGTGAAAAATTATACATATATAACCAAAAATATTGCTTTTTTATTACAAATTCAAAATAAATTGATTCAAAGCTTAAAAATTTTTATAAGGTTAGCGCATATGTGGACGACACTTGCGATAGTGTGGCAGATTATTATTATAAATTTTACTAGGGGTTCAAGATAGATCGTAAATTAGTCTTCCCAAGACACGAAGTTGGCCCCAAACCCGCCAGTAATTCATCGTAGTCCGAACCCCCTTTTGTGTGCATTCGAGGTGATGACTCAGTTATGTGTGACCAGAGAAAGATATAATCTAGCGCAAGATCGTGATTCGATAAAGTATTTGAGCAAAGATTTCGGAATCGTTAAAATAAATAGATGCGGTTTGCGAATGATTCGTTAAGTCCGCGGGATCTGACGGATCTCGATAAGCTTTGTGAATTGAAGAAACTATGAAATTCGAAAAGCCTCGGATTTCCAAGGGTTCGAAATAACCCTCGGAAAAACATCGGACCAATCCGCGGCCCGCTATTCAGTTCTTTGAATAAGGCGAGCGCGATTTCCTATCTTTGTGCCCGAAAATCATCCTTTATCCCTCAACCCGAATCACACCGATGGAAGAAAAGAAGTATAAGGATATATCCTTGTGCGAGAAAACTTCCTCCATTTCTTTCTTCCCTCCTGCGTCCAGCCCCTATCGGTGCCAAGAAGACGAGTTATCGAGATAGAAGGGGTGCCAAGGATTGGTTTGCATTACCGGCAAAATACGTCGAAACGAAATCCCTTCATCCCTTAAGGCCGGTTCTTTCCCTCCCTTTGAGCGTGGTCCCTTCACGAAAACGTCGCGGTGAATAAACGTCCTGTGAGAATGAAGGGAATCAGGGCTAGTCAAAGATTAAGCGTAAAGTAGAATTTTATCTTTTCTATTCGGGATAATCTCTTGTAATTGTTGTATTTAAAAAAATAATTATTATTATATTAAAATGTGATAACTAATGTACATTTTGAAACCTTAGAATCTCTAACTCTCACAACTATTTAATAACGCGAAATTATGGGTCGGGCATAGATAGTACTTAGGCGTTTAATCTCTACCATTTGTTTGCTAAAATCCTGAAATATTAAATTAAAACCCAATTAAACTAAAAATGATTACATTACAAATAACGAACGTATGAAGCGTCGTTCTGTAATAGATGTCACGAACGAGAAATTGTTGAATAAAATTGTGAAATTTCGTGGCTTTCATTCACTTAGCCATTTCGCCACACTGTTTGCCTTTGTTTTATTCCGTTCGGAGCGAGAATAAATCTTTAAAGAGGAGATAAAAAGCTGATCAGCTGTACCGAAAAAAGAAGAATACAGAAAGAACGTAGGATGAT